CAGGACTGCCCAGTGTATAACCAGGGCTACCTAGTGTTTAACAAGGGCTAGCCAGTGTATAACCAGGGCTATCCCGTGTATAACCAGGGGTACCCAGTGTATAATCAGGGCTATCCAGTGTATAACCAGGGGTATCCAGTGTATAACCAGGGGTACCCAGTGTATAATCAGGGCTATCCAGTGTATAATCAGGGCTATCCAGTGTATAACCAGGGCCACCCAATGTATAACCAGGGCCACCCAGTGTATAACCAGGGCTACCCATTGTATAATCAGGGCTACCCAGTGTATAACCAGGGCTACCCAGTGTATAGCCAGGGCTACACAGTGTATAGCCAGGGCTACACAGTGTATAGCCAGGGTTACCCAGTGTATAACCAGGGCTACCCAGTGTAAAACCAGGGCTACCCAGTGTAAAACCAGGGCTACCCAGTGTATAACCAGGGCTATCCAGTGTATAACCAGGGCTACCCAGTGTATAACCAGGGCTACACAGTGTATAACAAATATTGGCAGCCAATTCATAACCCAGGTTTTTTATCTATAGTATATCTAGGTATAGAGTCTATGAGTGAGAGTAGTTCGTCTATAACCATGAGTATCTTCTCAATGAACATTAGTTATAGTATCAAGCAGTATCTATTTTAATTTTTGAGTACAATCATAGTCTCACTCATTATGTGACATATTTCATTCAAACTTCGTATGTCGTTTGAACGACATTAATCCTTGATGCATGTCATTTTTTCCCATATTTGATTCAAAATGGCTGACTGATGGCAATTTTGTTTTTAACAAATGCTGTTTTGGGGGCCATATTACAAACTATTCAAAATTTACACATAGAACATGTACCACATTTATACATGCATCGATGGCAGATTGTCATTTTCGTGCTAGAAATGAAACATGAATATCAGAATAAAGGGAGAAATCGCACAAATAAACTTTGTATCATGTTAGTTACATGAGTGTAAAAAATTATTTTGCACTAATGTTGACAGTCACTGTAAACTGGGGGATGTCATTGACTTGTTTCAATCTATGTAATCAAACCTTTCTAAGAGTTCACTGCATTCTACAATGCCGTTGGCTGGAAATACAATCGATTGCCACACACAGAATAGAATCACTTTCAACCGCTCACAAAATGTGAGAGTTTGCATCCTGTGAGATCGTATATCGCCATATATGGTTATAAAATTTGCATACATATCTTATAAATCTTTGTTAGTATAAAACCATGGTGTAATTATAGTATAGAGAATGAATGATTCACTCGGTGATCACTGCTTGATGCGTATTGAGATAAAATATTTACAATCCATTTGAAAGTGCATTGCTGTGAAGTAGAGCGAGAGTTTCTTTACTCCACTGGGAACCATAGAGCACATAAAATACTACTGGCTGTCACTAGTGTGTAGTCATCAAACCAGACTTTCAATTAACCTTGTGATAAATTAGAGACTTTCACACAGTTGTCATCACAGCATGCATATTTTATGCAAATACATCCCAAATTTGGTAGGAAGGAGTTACAAATATTCTTTCTGCAGAAATTTGACCTTTTTAACCCTTTTACCACCCGTTGCCTCTTCACAAAATAGTCCCGTTTATAGTCTGCACTTAACTTCAGAAGTTTGGAACAAAAATAGCCAAATTTTTGAGTAAAAACTGAAAATTGACTGAAATTTTGTCTGTTGGCTCTAAAATTAGGGTTCATTTCCAGAAATATTGAGAAAATATAAGAGAAAAGTCTGGTGGTGAAAAGCGCTTTATTTTCCCCCACCATTTTGCCTGTTATGTATTTTTCTGAAATTTTGTTTGTAATTTTATATTGGCTACAACATTTTGTGAATAGTGACAAACGTTGACAGTGGCGCTCGGAAGGTTAAGGTTTTGGTGTAAAGTAAATATGATATGTTTATTTCAGCGTGCCAGTGTTCTTGTTATAAGTGCCAGGGAAGATAATGCCAATAAACATGCAATAATCTTCCTTTTTGGCTTTTATGCACAGCTTCATTTGACTGGTGCTAAAACAGCAGTCATTGGTTACAAATAGCCAGGTGGTCTTTATACACAGGCTACTTTACTTTAAATTACATTGAGACATCATATGAAGGTGATCACAAACACAGGTTTGACTGTATCACAGTTGAATATGAACGTATGAAATGAGATCCACAATTGACGTATGCTTACATTGTATTTCCTTGTAGATTCTGAAACAGAGACAGAAGAGCAACCCAGGGACAATGCATCAACGTCTAAAACAGATGATGATAACGATTATCATCGAAGTGACGAGCAAGTCAACGTCTGCTTAGAGTGCAATAGTTTTAATTTAAGAGCATTAAAAAGAAAATACATTCGTTGTTCTTCGCAAGCTACAATTACACACATCAAGAAATTCATTGCCAAGAAACTTAAACTTGCAACACATTTAGAAGTAAGTGAAAAAGTCTTCTTTATATTAAATTTTTAAAAACTATATTTTATATTTATTATATCTTCAAGGTCAAGTCTATTGTGGAATATTGTCTCACAGCTTAAAACATGTTTCACTGAAGGCAATATTCTGGTACTTGACTTGGGCTGATATCAAGAATTACGAGCCCAACATGGCTTGTAATGGCCATACCCTAGGTAATTCTTGTGTTCATCGATTGACCAGAAAAATTTTGTAGGGTAAATTTTTTTTTTAGCTCCTCTGTCATCCGTTACTTTTTCGACTTCTTCTTGAGAAGTACAAGTCAGATTGCTTTAGTACTTGGTGTATATGTACCTTGGGTAGACTTTTTTTAGATTTGTTCATTTTGTGATGTTATCTTTATTTCTTTATTTAAAAGCAATATATTTGACTTCTTAAAAAATGCTTGTCCGATTGCTTAGATATTATATATATAGGTACTACATGTGGATGTGGACCTCTCAGATTTGTTTATTTTATGATGATATCTTCAATTCTCTAATTGAAATATGCTTTGCTAACAGCAAAGCTGAGAGGTTTCCTGTAAAATAGTGAATGAACATTGTATTCAGTTTTAGTGACTGATCATTTTTAAGGTGATAAAATACAAATGATGTCTTATTGATTGATGTGTTTATATTCATTAGGTTGATATACTATGCAATGAAGAGATTCTTGGTAAGGATCATACACTGAAATTCGTAACAGTTACAAGATGGAGGTGTCGGGTAAGGTTATTCACTTTACTTGGGTGTAGTGTGGGTTAAAAGGGGATAGAGGTAGTATAGGGCTGATATGGGGTTGGGTAGTATGGGCTGACATGGGATTGGGTAGTATGGTGCTGACATGGGGTTGGGTAGTATGGGGCTGACATGGGGTTGGGTAGTATGGGGCTGACATGGGGTTGGGTAGTATGGGGCTGACATGGGGTTGGGTAGTATGGGGCTGACATGGGGTTGGGTA